CATCTTTCTTAGTTGGTGGACTTGAACCAATGACCTTTTGTTTAACAGCCCAATGCTTAACATTAGTCACCAGAGAGATGCAAATCAAAACCACAATGAGAAATCATTTCATTCTCACTAGGATGGCTAAGATTTTAAAAAAAAGAAAAATTAAAACCACCAAAAATAACAAACAGTGAGGAAATTGAAACCTTTATCCATTGCTGAGGATCCCTGGTAGCAGAGTGGGTTACTCATTGGGCTGCTAACTGAAAAGTCAACAGTTCGAAACCACCAGCCTCTCCGAGGGAGGAAGATGAGTCTGTACCCTGCAGAGATTTACAGTCTCAGAAACCCTCCAGGGGAGTTCTACCCTGTCCTGTGGGTTGGCACAAACTCAATGGCAGTGAGTTTCTTTGAGATTCCTTGTTAGTGGGGATCCAAAATGGCACAGCCATTGTGGGCAAGGGTAGGACCCTAGTTCTATGGGACAATAAGGTCAATTGGCATCGCATAGTCCACAAAGACTATGTTCTACTTACTTTGCTTAGTAAGAACCAGTGTCTTAAATGCTTCTGAACAGCCAGCCAAGGGGTAACTATTGTTCTCTTTTTATGTGGAGGAAATAAGAGTAAAGAAAATCAACAAAATAGGGAAAACAATTAGTCCAAAGAACTAACGGACCACACAAACACCAGTCTTCCCAACTCTGAGACCAGAGCAAGATGATGCGCAGCTACTACTGCCAACTGCTCTAAAAGGGATCAACTTTGAAGGTCCTGTGTAGCATGGGAGCAAATTATGGACCAAAACTAAAATTATAAAAAACACAAGCTTATTCACTGGATAGAGATTGGTGGAATTCCCAGGACTGTGGCCCTTAGTCTCCCTTCAGTTCTGGAAATGAATTCACCCCCATCACTCAATTTTCAGCCAAACAATAGACAATTATATAAGGCAGCAGTTCTTAACCTGTGGGTCGCGACCCCTTTGGGAGTTGAATGACCCTTTCACAGGGGTTGCCTAAGACCATCAGAAAACATATTTCCGATGGTCTTAGGAACCGAGACAATGCTCCTCTATTCGTCTCCAGGTAGGCCCACCCACATGCAGATACACCCACATAGGAGGACCCGGCGCGAAGACTGTTACCCATGCTACACCATGCTTCAAGACAAAATTTCATTTATTTGTCATTAGAAAAAAATATCACAAAATATAAATACATATTGTTTTTGTGATTAATCACTATGCTTTAATTATGTTCAATTTGTAACAATGAAAATACATCCTGTATATCAGATATTTACATAATGATTTATAACAGTAGCAAAATTTCAGTTATAAAGTAGCAACGAAAATAATTTTATGGTTGGGGGTCACCACAACATGAAGAACTGTATTGAAGGGTCGTGGCATTAGGAAGGTTGAGAACCACTGGTATAAGGGGAATAAGAACACTAATGAAGTACTTCCACAGTCGAATAAGTTGAGATCAAAAGACAGTACTTACCTAAGGTCAAATTTCAGGAGGTTTAGGAAAGAAGGAGGAATAAACAGAGGAAACTCATAGAAAAAAATGGGATAGATATTTTATTGTGGGGAATGCAATCAGTGGAATGAAACAAAATGTGTATGAATTGTTCAATGGGAAACTGTTCTACTCCAGAAACCTGCACCCAACTTGATTAAAAATAATTTTAAAAAACACAGTATAGACACTGGGGCATTTAAAAAAGAGACACGTGTATCAATGTTCACTTTAACACTATTCATAATAGTCAAAAGATGGAAGCAATCTAAAGACCCATCAACAGACCACTAGATAAACCAAATATGGTATATTCAGCGTGGTACATCGTACTCAGCTAGTAGGAGAAAAGAAGTCTTGCTACATGCTACCGTGTGAGTGGGGCTTAAAGACATGGTGCTGAGCAAAAGTACCCAATCACAAAAGGACAAAGTGCCTGAAATCTTAAAAGTAGCCCTCTAAGACTCAACAAGTGGTCTCTATTCACTTGAAGCAATAAAGAAAGAAAGAAGAGTCAGGAATTATGGGAGGAGGATATAGAATGTGTGGCTAATTGCTTCCATTAACAACTGCCAGGGGCCAGAGCTGGATGGTGCTGGGTTCCCATTACCAAACATTTTGATAAAAGATTCCACAGACAAACCCTGATCGAAAGGAGGAAATGTAGAACCGAATTTCAAATTTCTATGGACTCTAGACCTTCTGAAGCTATGAAGGCTGGGTGAACCCCTGAGACTTGCCCTGAGATAATCCTGAAACCTTAACAAAACAATCCCCTGATGTCATCTTCCAACCAAACAGTAGATTAGCTTGAGCCTTATGTTCTTTTAAGAGCTATCTACATGAGATCAAATTGATAACAGCCGCTCAAAAGATTAGATAAGAATCTTACCAAAAACCAAACTCCCTGTCACCTAGTGGATTCTAACTCCTAGCAACCCTGTAGTACAGGGTAGAACGGCCCCTGTGAGTTCCAAAGGCTTTAACTCTCTCTCTTTTTCTGATCATTTTATTGGGGACTCTTAAGAACCCTTATAAGAACCCATAACTCAATTACATCAAGCGAACTTGTATAGATGCTGCCATCATCATTTTTAAAATATTTTCTTTCTACTTGAAGTCCTTGATCTCAACTCCTCATTATTCCCTTACCCCCATGCTACCACCCTCGTGAACTCTTAATCGATTATATATTATTGTTGTTGCTTTTCCTATCTTATACTGTCCAATGTATTCCTTCACCCACAGTTCTTCTATTCATCCCCCCAAGGGGAGTTATACATCCATCATTGCTATCAGTTCCCCCTCCCCCCGCCCTCCCTTTAAAGGTCGAGAAAGGAAAGCAATGGATGCTGGACACAGGGGGCAATTTAGCACAGAGAGTAAGGCCTGCTGGCTCTGATCACTGGGAAGGCAACCAGGAAAAAAAGGTTTTCTAAAAATTCAAAGTTCTTTCTTCTTTTTTTTTTTTTTTAGTTTGCTTATTTTTACAGTTTCACTGACATCCAGTCCACAGATCCTACATTACTGTACATTTCAAGAGTTCAATCACAGTCATGAGAGTTGTACAACCAGCACCACAATTCATTCCAGGCCATTTCTTCTTCCTCGTACTCATTGTCGTACACTCCCCATTTCCCGCCAGCCTTCCCCACCATGCCATGTCCTTTTGAATCTATTAATCCAGTTGTTGTCTCTATAGGTTTACCTAATATAGGCTTCATATACAGAAAAACAGACAAAATACAAGTCAACAGCCTAACAACCATGACAGAATGAAACGGAGAAAAACCTCAATTGAAAACCAAGCAGAAAATATTGAACACTGGAGCAATTACACAGTGGATCAAATCGTCACTACAAACACCTCTGGAATCTGAAACCAGTTTTATAATACCACACAGATGACCCAGCAGTTCAAAGGGTACCTTAAATCAGGCTCCCTGGGAATCAAACTGAAATGGAGATGACACAAGGGCGGGGATTTCTTGAGGGAAGCTGGTTTGGGCCAACAGAGAGGTTGAACTGCAATGCAGTCACAACAAGGTACCCTTGAACCAGAATGACTCTTCATAGTAATCCTGGACTGAGACCAGAGGCCTGGGCCTTTGTCCCACAATGACCAGTCATCATGGTCCTTGGCCAAAGGACCATCCATTCTAGGGTAGGGCTGGTTATGAGAGCTTAGAGAAACCTTCATCCATTCAGTTCTCTATTAGCATAATTCAGTTCTCTATTAGCATAGTGTACATTTATTGAGCACCTGCTGCATGACACCCACTCTGACACAAAGGAAGTTGTCTTAATAGCCTAGTATTGCTGTGACACAAATACCACAAGTGAATGACTTTAAAGAACTGAAATTTATTTTCTTACTGTTCAAGAGACTACCAGGCAAACTATCAGGGTCTCGATCATGTTAATTCTGTCCTTGTTGCTTTCCCCAGACATTTCTTGGCTCATTGGCAATCCTTACACACCGTTTTCCCTGTACACCCAGGCTTCACTTATCAACATGGTTAGGTTCCAAAGATAACTACACAAAATCGGTGTTATGGAAGGGTCAGGGTTGTGCCCTGTCTTCAGTGCTGGTGTCCCGCTTTGGCGTTCGTGAACCTCCCATCACCCTTGGCTCACTGTTGGTTAGGTGCTCCTGGTGGGCTTGTTTGTTTTTGTTTTCCTAAGGGTGCTCATGACTCAGCAGGCTCTCTCTCCCCACCACCATGCAGCCTGTGGGGGTTGGAGGGAGTGCCGTGCTGGTGGTGGTCCATTGTTGCTGCTCACTCCCCACTCTGGATGGGGACCCCATTTGTCTTCCATCTGTCCCAACCTCAAAGCCCTGAGTGGATCCTTGTTCTCTCTCACCCTTCCTGCTCCTCCCCAGCCCCCAAACATCCTCAGCACCTTCAGACCCTCACTCAGCCCCCCTCTACCTAACAATGACCTCATATCACCCCACTATTGCCCTGGGCTCTCCATGGCTAGACCCAGATGTTATGATTTGGTTTACCACCCATCCCATGCTGATATGACCCAAATGGACTGATTCCATGATATCAGATTGCATTGTGGAAAAGTCATTACCTTACACATCCATAGCATTACCTTGCATTATATCCACAAGTATAGAGGTGATGGGATACCATTCACTCCATCATGGAGATCAAGACCCCAACCCCATCCTTTAGGAGCTTACAGTCTACAGAGGGGGACAGGTTTCGATGATGAATTGTTTCTGTTCTCAAGCTTCAGAGAAAGTGTTCTGAGAGGTACAGGACAGGGGTATGTCTGTTCAGTCAAACCAGGGGAAACTGTCCCAAACCAGGGTCATGCCAGTCAAGCCAGGGCCCATGTACAGGAATTCAGGCAGAGAAGACAACACATGCTTCCAATATGTTCTACATTACCGCAAGTCCTGGTTTCACCCTACAGGACAGACCACTTCTCTTAGGGCAAATGACATATGCCTCTCCCCTTTCCCTCCCTGCAGATGACCCATAGAATCAACAGCCTGGATGACAAGATTTCTAAGATGAGCCGGGCGCTGACTGAGCTCAAAAAGCGCTTTCAGAAGACAGTGACTCAGTTCATGAATTCTGTCTTGCTGACAGCAGGTAACAAGGGGACAGAAAGGTGGGTCATCTGTAGGTGGTTTCATAGGATAGCTGCCTCCCAATGCTCATTGATGGATTCATCTTGAGTCTGAGCCTCCAGGTAGGTGGGCAAGGCAGGGGGGATCCCAAGTGTAGATGGGCCATTAGACTCAGACTGCCATGCAGCTAATGAACAGGGAACTTGGAGAACCGCAACTTCGGAGGCCTTTCTCTGGATGTCTGTTTATATCTGTGTATGTCTGCCTTATCCTCTGATGTCTTCCATTGTGTCTCTGGGTTCCTCCACATCCTCGGTCCCCAGAGAGGCTATCTTTCAGCTCTAGCTGTCATACACGCTCTCCTCCATGGAGGCCATATCGTGAGCGAGCACAACTGAAGAAGAAAATATAGCCACCTCCCCCTGATGCCCTTGGCCAGCCCACAGAGCTCCCCCAGGCGGGGGTGGGTGGACTCAGGAGCCCTTCCACATCTGGGCTCTCATCTGCATGGCCCTCTGGCCTACAGACAAAGGAATATTCATCCTATCATGTGTCTCAGCCTTGATAGGTACTGAGGAGCTGTACTCCCCTCCCCCAGGACCACCTGGGCAATTACTCCTGTCCTTGAAGACTCATCTCCACCTCATAGAAGCCCCTGCCATGAGAGGACGCTCTCCAGGCTCTGCCACTGCTTTGGGAACCATGGCCTCAGGAGTGCAAGTGGCTGATGAAGTGTGTCGCATTTACCATGACATGAAAGTTCAGAAGAGCTCCACACTCCCAAGATAAAAAGAAAGATAGCATGCTGTCATTTTTTGTCTCAGTGCAGACCAAAAAAAAGCATCATTGTAGAAGAAGGCAAGGTCTAGGCTGGCGACATTGGAGTAACATGAACCGATCCTTTCAAGCATTTTGTGGGAATGCTTCCCAGAAAAGCTGGTCACTATGCTTTGTCGATGCCAGCTTTGAAACTAAGGAATCCAGAAAAGAAGAGTTGTGAGTTTGGGGAGGGGGGTTGTTTTTGTTGTTACAGAGCTAGCACCTCTGAAAAGCAAAATTATCTACGCAAGCTCAAAGGATGCAATCAAAAAGAAATTTCAAGGCAGAAAACATGAATGTCAAGCAAATGGGCCAGGAGAACCCCAATCAGGCTTGTAGTGCAGAGAAGCCAGGTGGATCCTTATTGTAGCTTTTGAAGGATGTCCTGCGCAGATCACCATTCAGGGCCACCAAACAAAAGCTCCCGTGTCCCATGTTACTCTATTCCTATTCAAATAAAGCAAGCCTATTTAGGCCAGGGTCTCTCTCACAATGGGGAAGTTGCCTTGTCTTCTACAGTAAATAAAATATTCCCTTAACAAGTGCAACTAGCCCTAAAGGAGGTGTTCCTCTGTAGCACCTTCTGTGAGGTGGCACTGGAGGACACAGAGCCAAATGACGCCAGGTCCCTTAGGAAAAATGAGGTCGGAACTGGAGGGTAGAGAGAGCTGGCATGTCTTGTTTTTATATCCATCAAACTGATCAAAACTGCACTCCAAACCCACTCCCTTCAACTCAGTGCTGACTCATAGTGAACCTATAGGACAGAGTAGAATTTCCTCCGTGAGTTTCTAAGATTGTAACTATTTACAAAACCCTGTCTTTCTTCCACAGAGCAGCCGGTAGTTTCAAATGTCTGATCTTGCAGGTCGCAGCCCAATGCATAACCAGTACACCACCGGGCTCCTCAGGGTTGGAATTTTGCCTGGGATGGTATAGAATATGGTATAGAAGATGAGCCCCCTCTAGGCCGGAAGCCACTCAAAATATATAGTGGTCACCATAATGAACTCAATCATATGAAAAATTGTGAAAATGGCTCAGACCAGGCAGCACGTTATTCTGTTGCATATGGGGTCACCATGAATCGGAGCCAACTCCAGGGCAACTGGCAACAATGACATGTGTGCCAACTAAGGGATGGAGCATGACAATAAGCAGGAGAGATGCGGCATCCCAGGCAGAGAACAAGGAGAGTGGAAAAGTGGCTTTCGGGATGAGGTGAGGTGGGCGCGAGTGTGCAGAGCCTCCGAGCAGGGGCAGAGGTGGCCTAGGGAGGTTGGCTGAAATGAGGCTGGGAAGGGAGACTGATAGCCGTGTCTCTGTTAACAGGTCTGTTCACTATAGAATATCCTGTCAAAGATGACACAGAGGTTATTCGGACCAAGATGAAATCTGGATCTCACCAGGAGCGGACACCCAAGACGAGTTTATTTTCAGGAGAATTCCTGGTACGATCTCAGTCAGCACGACCAGAATCCTCTGTTGAAGAGTCTTCCAAGGAAGAATCTTTGTCTGCTCCGGTGAGCCCCACTCGGAAGGCTAACAAAATCAAAGCCAAACCTGTGGTCACCTCCAGGTTAGTAAGTCTTGGATCTTCCACTTTGGTGTGTCAGATGCTATGATGGGTAGAAGAGCCACTACGATGACTGAGGCAGAGGAGCTTAAATGATACGGAAGAGGAAATGTCGAAGATAAACACAGGAACAAGTGAAATGGTTTTAAATAGCAATCAAGGCTAAGAAGAGACTATATGGAAGTACTGATAGTAAGGTTGGAAAATTACTACTCATAGTCCAAATCTGGCCCTGTTTGCCTCTTTTTTAAATGGTTTTTAAGACTTGTTGTGTTAGTCTAGGTAGACTGGAGAAACAAATTCATAGACACCTGTATGTGTATAAAACAGAGCTTTATATACAAGAGCAATTGAGAAAACATCCCAGCCCAGTCCAGATCAAGTCCATAAGACTGATATTAGTCCATATGTCCAATTCCAATTTATAAATTCCTCTTCAGACTCAGGAAACACATGCAATGATGCTGAATGCTGGAAGATCACAGGCCAGTGGGTGCAAAGTCCTGTGGATCCAGTAGCAGTGGAAATATCTCGGTGCTGGCAGCGGTCTCCATGTGACTCCTTCACCCCCAGGGCTCTGGCTGCATCAGGGTAGCTTCATGTGCCTTCTCAACAGGAATGTCTCACAGGGAATGAGCGTGTGTCCCACCTCCAATGAGCTATTTATCTCTTTAGTGCCTCCAAATGCGGTCATTGAGCTGCGACCTGATTGACAGGCTAAACTCCACCCCTTCACTCTCTTTTTTTAAATTAAATACTTTTATTGGGAGCTCTTACATCTCATCACAATCCATACAATCATCCATTGTGTCAAGCACATTTGCACATATGTTGCCATCATCATTCTCAAAGCATTTTCTTTCTACTTGAGCCCTTGATATCAGCTCATTTCCTCCCTCCCTCCCCTCCCCCTCCCCCTCATGAACCCTTGATAAGTTATAGATTATTATTTTCATATCTTACATCATCCTCTGTCGCCCTTCACCTACTTTTCTGTTGTTTGTCTGAAATTGACAACAGATAATGTAACTACCACAAATGGATTGTAACGTTGGTTGAAAGATCCTATGGGCAAAATACTGAATGATGCAACAAGCATCAAAAGAAGACTACACAGAGTCACTGTACCAAAAAGAACTGGTCAACATCCAACCATTTGACGAGGTAGCATATGAGCAAGAACTGATGGTAATGAAGGAAGAATCCCTAGCTGTCCTGAAAGCATTAACCAAAAACAAGGCTCCAGTAATTAATTGAAAACAAACTGAAATATTTCAACAAGCTAATGCAGCACTAGAAGCACTCACTTGTCTATACCAAGAAGTCTGGAAGATAGCTACATGGTTAACTGCCTGGAAGAGATCCATATTTGTCCTCATTGGTGATCTAAGAATGCTCAAATTAGAGAACAATATTATTAATATCCCTTGCATGTAAAATTTTGGTGATGATCATCCAACAATGGTTGTAGCAGTACAATAACAAGGAACCGCCAGGAATTCAGGCTGGATTCAGAAGAGGATGGTGGTACAATGACAAGGAACCGCCAGGAATTCAGGCTGGATTCAGAAGAGGATGGTGGAGCAAGAGATATCATTGCCGATGTCAGAGGAATCTTGGCTGAGAGCTGAGAATACCAGAAAAATGTTTTACTGACCATGCCACGACATTAGACTCCATGGACCACAGCAAACTATGGACAGCCTCAAAAAGAGTAGATATTCCAGAACACTTCATAGAACTCATGTGGAACCTGTAAATGGATTAAGAGGCAGTTGTGTAAACAGAGCAAGGGAACCATGTAGTCATGGTTTAAAATCAGGAAGGCTGGCCATCAGGGTTGCATCCTCTCACCATACTTATTCACCCAATATGTTGAAAAAATAATCAGAGAAGCTGGATTATCTGAAGAAGGATACAGAACCAGGATTGAGGGAGGCTTCTTAACAATCTGTGATATTTAGAAGACAGAATCTTGCTTGCTGAAAGTGAGGAGAACTTAAAATACTTGCTGATGAAATTCAAGGATTGTATGGGTTACATCTCAATGTAAAGGAAACGAAAATCTTCACAATTAGACTATTAGGTAACATCATGATAAATGGAGAAAAGATTGAAATTGTCAAAGATTTCGTCTTGCTTCGATCCACAATATTCAATTCAATAATCATAGAAACAGCAGTCAAGAAATAAAATGATGCATTGCATTTGGTAAATCTGTTAGAAGAGATCTCTATAACGTGTTGAATAGCAAGGATGTTGCCTTGAGGACTAAGATGGCCCATGGTGTTTACAATCACCTCATACATGTGTAAAAGTTGGGCACTGAATAAAGCAGATTGAAAAAGAATTGGGGCATTTAAGTTATGGTGCTGGTGATTAATATTGAAAGTACCATGGACTGCTGAAAGAACAAACAAATTTTTTGAGAATGATGAGGGCAACAAATGTACAAATGTGCTTGACACAATGGATGGATGGATAGATTGTGATAAGAGTTGTATGAGCCCCCAATAAAATGATTTTTAAAAAACCAACCCAGAGCAAATAAATCTGCCTTGAAAGATGTACTGCCAGATTCCATGATGCTCACCTTCCCGACACATCTCTGAAGACAAAGCGGGTGCTTACGCAAATGTGGTGAAGAAAGTCGATGGCACCTGGCTATCAAAAGATATAGCATCTGGGGTCTTAAAGGCTTGAAGATGAACAAGCTGCCATCAAGCTGAGAAGCAACAAAGCCCACATGGAAGAAGCACACCAACCTGTGTGACGATGAAGTGTTGATGGGACAGGTATCAGGATAAAAGAACAAAAAAAAACATATAATTGTGAATGAGGGGGAGTGCGGAGTGGGGACCCAAGACCTAGCTGTAGGCAACTGGACATCCCCTTACAGAAGGGTTGCAGGGAGGTGACGAGCCTGTCAGTGTGCAGTGTAGCAACGCTGAAACATACAACTTTCCTCTAGTACTTTAATGCTTCTTCCCCCTACTATCATGATCTCAATTCTACCTTACAAATCCGGCTAGACCAGAGGATGTACACTGGTATACATAGGAACTGAAAACACAGGGAATCCAGGATAGATGAACCCTTCCGGACCAGCGGTGAGAATGGCGATACCAGGAAGGTGGAGGAAGCGTAGGGTAGAAAGGGGGAACTGATTACAGGGATCTACATATAACTCCCTTCCTGGGGGACAGACAACAGAAAAGTGGGTGAAGGGAGACCATTGGACAGTGTAAGACATGACAAAATAATAATATTTATAAATTATCAAGGGTTCATGAAGGAGAGGGGTGGGGAGGGAGGGGAAAAATAAGGAGCTGATACCAAGGGCTCAAGTAGAAAGCAAATGTTTTGAGAATGATGATGGCAGCAAATGTATAAACGTGCTTGACACAATGGATGGGTGTTTGGATTGTGATAAGAGTTGTACAAGGCCCCAATAAAATGATTTTTTTAAAAAGAGAAGAAGTAGTACTGCCAGAATGTTCCTTAAAAACAAGAAATGCAAAACTTCATTTCACTTACTTTGGACATACTATCAGGAGAGACCAGTCCCTGGAAAAGGACATCATGCTTGGTAACATGGAGATGTAGTGAAAACCAGGAAGACTCTCAACAAGGATTGACGCAGTGGCTGCAACAATGGGCTCAAACGTAAGAACAGTGGTGAGGATGACGCCGGACTGGACGATGTTTGTTTTGTTGTAGAGAGGGCCGCTGGAGTCAAAACTGACTCCACACCACCTAACAACAACAACATTGGTTCCCTGTCTAAAAATTCTGTACTCAGCTCACCGGCTCTTGGTCAGAAATTATTTGGCCCAGCAGAGGACATTTGCCAATGCTTACAGACATTTTAATTGTCACAATTAGACATTTTATTGTTACCATCTAGTGGATAAAGCTTATGATTCATCCCAATGTGTTCAAAGCAATGGCTGCACGACAAAGAATTACTAAGTCCACATGTCAACAGAGCCAAGATTGAGAAACTCTTGCCCAACTCAATGTTACGAGAATTTTTCTGTGAAATTTAAGTTTCATATTCACTTCCAATTGAGTCCATTCTGACTTGTAGCGACCTTTTTTTGGACAGAGTAGGACAGAATAGAACTGCCTCTGTGGGCTTCTGAGACTAAATCTTTATGGGAGTAGAGAAATCACATTTCTCCTCTAGAGTGGCTTGTGGTTCTGGACTGCAGACCTTGCAACTAGCAGTGTAACCCACTGCCATCGAAATGATTTCAATGCCTAGCCACCTATAAGGATAACATTGAGAAGAGTGAGAATTCCAAAATACTTCATTGTGTTCATGTGGAACCTGTACATGGATCAAGAGGCAGTCGTTCAAATACAAGGGAATACTTCGTGGTTTAAAATCAGGAAGGTGTGTGTTAGGGTTTGTGGCAGTTACATAATCTCCTGTCAACTTGCGAAGGGGTGTGTTTAGCCTCTCCATCAGGCCATAGCCAATGAGGCTTCCATGTGGGCATGGCCTTCTCCTGAGGATTCTGGGAACTCCTGCATTCCTCCCTGGAGGCAGGAGACACTCTCTGATTCATCTTCCTGTTGATAAGACATACAGAGCTATGTTGATGGCGGTCACAGCCTTAGAGACCCACATCAGCACTAAGATGCTTCCGCCACCACTGGATCCACAAGACTTTCCACCCACTGGCCTGTGATCTTCTTGGATTGAGCATCATTATATGGCTGTGTTAGTCTAAAGAGGAATTTATGGACTAGTATCGACATATGGGATAATATTAGACTTATGGAATTGATCTGGACAGGGCTGGGATATTTTTTTAAATGTACAATTGCTTTTGATATAGAATTCTCTCTTTTATATATGAGTGTCTCTGGATTTGTTTCTCTAGTCTACCCAGACTAACACAGGGTTGTATCCTTTATCATACTTATTCAATTTGTATACTTAGTAGATATTATGAGAAGCTGGAACAAGACAAGAAGAACAAGACCTTAGGACT